ATAGCCATGTAAGTCTAATATTGCCGCCATCTTGAAACGAAGTGCAACTTTTCTGGTCTGAAACATTTTTATTTAGTAGCTTAGTACTTTTTTGTAGACATCAAGATATAAAGCTTTAACATAAAACTTCATCTCTCGATACATACATACATACATAAACTTTATTTAAGCTCGAATTTCAGAGTAGCTTGACAAGGTAATATTTCCGAGAACAAAATATTTGATAACGAAAAATTAAAATAGAAATTGCTATTTACATATTTACAATTGACTTATATTGGTACAATCCCATCTCTTCACGGGTACAAGAGATGGTACAATCCCATCTCTTCACGGGTGAAAAAGAGAATCATGTCAAACATCCGCCATGTTAGTCTAATATGGCCGCCATCTTGAAACGAAGTGTAACGTTTGTGGTGTAACAACGTTTTTCCTAGTACCGAATATAGCCGTCCTTGTGAAACAAAGTCCAACATCTCAGGTCTAAGAAAGTTGTTCCTACTACCTTGCTACTTTTTGTCTTTACATCAGGAGAGTCTACTGTCGCCTGGAACTTCATCTCTCGATTTTAGAATCCCATTTCTTTTATGGGTTGAAAAGATGATGTGACACAACAGCCATGTAAGTCTAATATGACCGCCATCGTGAAACGAAGTGTAACTTTCCTGGTCTAATAACTCTTTATGTAGTACCTTGGAAGTTTTTGTGTCAATATCAAGATATGAAACTGTCACCTAAAACTTTACCTCACGATGTTAGAATCCCATCTCTTCAACGGTTGGAAAAGAGTATGTGGTGAAACATCGGCCATATTAGTCTAATATGGCCGTCTTCATGAAACGAAGCCCAACATCTCAGGTCTAATAACGTTCTGCTTAGTATTTTGATGATTTTGTCTTTACATTAAGACAGTCTACTGTCGCCTGGAACTTCATCTCTTGATATTGGAGTCCCATCTCTCTCATGGGTTGAAAAGAGGATCAACTCCAAACAACAACCGATGTTTCACATCATCCTCTTCTCCATGTTGATCCAATATGGCCGTCATCATAACACATCTCAGGCCTAATAGGTTTTTCCTAGTACCTTGCAATTTTTTTTTCTTTACATCAAGACAGTCAACTCTCCCCTGGAACTTTATCTCTCGATATTAGAATCCCATCTCTTTTATGGGTTGAAAAGAAGATGATGTGAAAGCAGGAGTGCACCTGACGGTGTGTGGGTGTGGGGAGGAGGAATACAGATTCCTCGTTCCTATGATATCACCATAAAGAAAAGAACATCGAGACATGGAGTCCACCCATTTCGTAGTAACATGAAACTGGATTAACGAATTTTATCTCGTTCAGCGAACAAATGTTTTGTTACAAATTTCCATCGTTTATTTCGGAAAAAGATCAACTTTACATAACGGGTTTTTCCTCTCGAAAGTAAGGAGTACCAAAGGCTGCTAATTCCGAAAGTAACGAGAGTCGATCTGGACTATATTATTTAGCATACGGACTGCTGAGATTGAAGGGTCTACAACAGGAGGGCAGGAGGCTTAACATTGGATTTAGACAGTACATTATGACAAGTCTCAAGGTTAAAGAAACTTCAAATAAACAAAAAATAACATTTATTTAACAAGTCCATTATTCATTTAAGATCACGAACAGGAGTCTATATTACACAAATTATAGTCTGACAGCGTTAACAATCGGCGCCGAGTGAAGGTCCTCGGACGAGTTCCAAGAACACGGTCTAACAATATGGCGGCCAGGAATAAGTACGAGTGAATGGCAAATCATAGTCTTTCAAGTAATATTCTATTCTCTAGGTTGGGAAGGTTCCACTGTAACTGAACATTTGCAAAACAAATTCACGCGACACTATACTGAGTTGAATGGCTATAACTTATTTTACAACATTTATTTACAACAATTTCTAATTAAAAAAAAAAAAAGAAAAAGAAAAAAAGCGATGTAATGCACGTATTTTTGTTAAGGTAACAAGTACTTTAATATTTTGGTAGTACTTTTCCTAAGCCTAACTCTATATTTATTGTCAATTGTGAGATAAAAGTTCAACAGTGTAGTGGCCAACGATGCGGCAATTTTTACCCAGAAAGAACGAGAGGAAGATATCAAGGAACCACCAAGTGCAAATAATCATCGAGAACAACATAACACCAAAATGCCTTCGTTCATCTACAAATCTCCCTTCCGCCACATGTCCTTGGATAATCAAGAAAACAGCAATGCTGATTAAACAATGTTTATCTTCGCTAAAATGTGATCATCGCTAAGGTAAAGGACATTAAGGTGAGCTGAAGTTCTCAACGACAAACGTCGATACACGGCTGATTTACCATCTCCTGCTCAGAATGCTACTAAAATAAATTTGTTTTAATCGTCAAAATGTCTCCTTATAAACCATGCTTCATGCTCTATTTCATGTAAGATATATTAAAATTTCCATTCAACTCCTGGTTATGTTACATTACTGCACACTTTCTTCCCGGTCTATCACTCTCCACATGGCGCATGCGCTTCGTTTATCCATTTTATACGCTTGCCTCCTCTCTGTAATTCCCAATCCTTCATAAAATAACTTCGATCTTCATTCCATTGATCTGTAGAGGCTATAGTCGATAATTTTATGTACACCATAAGATGATTTCTACTAGCGGTATTTACAGGATGTGTTCATTACGGAGAACTTTCACCAGCCGACGACTTGACAATCTTGTATGTAATCAAGTACTCTGGATAAGCCTGTAAACAAAAGCAAAATAGCAAATAATTTGTCACGAACAGAGGCACTAAAAGACTAATTGAAAGTTCAAGGTGAAATTCATTGATTAAATGGGCCCATAAGTCCTTATCCACATGTAAACGTACCAACTCTCAATCTTTTTTCATCAGAAAACGTAACAAACTACATGTACTTGCGGCTAGAGTATAAGTGAAAACGTGAAAACGTTTGACAAACGCATAAACTGAACGCATCAAAGGCATATAATACTATAATTTCGAAAGAATTGTGGCTCACCTGCTCTCCCCTATACACCACATATTCAGCAAATGAGAGCCCTTCCGAGCTGGGACGACCAATAACAGAGTGGTGGCCCGGAGGTGAATGCGCCATCTTGACCGCGGAGAACTGGTAAAACGGCTTACCAAGGGCTACACGACATAATAGCAGTTGCCTGGGAATTCAAATAAAGACAGCTCGTTAGTTTTACGCCGTGGATTCTCCCCAGTCTCTGGACTGTGGGTTTGATTATTTGTGTACTTGCTGCCGAGAGTGATGGCTTATGGCAGTTGGCTTGTCACACAATCTTGCGTGACAAGCACAAAAAGCATCTCCCTAGAAATTCAGTTTCAGTTTAGTTTCGGGTGTTACACGCAGGAGACCATAAAGAGACTCAAACAAATGCGATCAGCAGTTACCTTTCGCACAGGTAGCAAGACTTGTCCTTGTGCAGCGCACAGCCAGATCCTCCACCAATGCCGTATACATACTGGTTGCTCTTGGAAGAGTTTTCCGCGAAGTAAATACCTGTACAGAAGCAAGCGTTAGTTTGTTCGGTGAAAGGGTACGCAGTGTCCTAAACTTTAAGCCGCAAAGCCTGACTGCGAGGGCAAAATCATGAACAATCCCTACCATAATCATCATCATCATAGTCCTCATCGCGCCATCGGACGCATAAGGCCTTACCCTACCATACTCAACTGGAACATTTAGCTCATTTAGCTCCAGGTCAGATGTGCATCCACGTGCACTTTCTGGTTTCATACAAGTTGTTTTTTTCTAGTTGGTCATCCACTGCTTGCTTTGGGTTTATTAAAAGTTATTCATCTGTTAGAATGGTTCAAGTTGCTCAATGAGAACCCTGCGTGCCAAGTTCTGACATCAATTATGTGACAAACGGCGTAAACGTCATGGTGATTTCAATTACATCACTTTCACATGTTTGTATAGCGATCTCTCAATGGTTTTTTAATCGATCTACGTCACGAGTTTGTTTATGATTGGCTCACTCCATCCTCATTTCATTTGCTTGCACTTTATGAACGATAGCGGGTGACAGAAACAGAAACCTTACCAGCTCCAAACATGCCTCCGATATAAGCATGGCGCTCGTCGAAACCTTTCTGTAAAATAGCGTGAATGAACGCCGAACCTAAATTAAAAAGATAATCACTCGAGGATTATTTACCGGTACTTAACATGATGCTATTATACGCTAAAAAGCTGTTACTCATTTTAAAACGTTGGGGAGACTTTGCAGCGGCTTAACGCGCGAGGATGTCTGGGATCGCTTGTGCCAGACTGCAAAAGTGGCGTCTGTTGGTACGTCTAGCGAACGATTCCATGAGCGTTTGCGCAATCGAGATTTTGCAACAGAGTCTGTGAGATATAGACAGGTTATGGTAACACATGTGTGTGTTGCCCACCCAACAACAATTACTTGAGCTGTAATAACTATTTTTATACGTGATATGAACCAGTACAAACCTAGCGGGTTTAAGGCAGAGGTAAGCCCTATTCCCTTGTTATCTAGACTATAGACCTGTAAGTATTACAATTAACCTGACCAACCTCGCTTTTAGTTGATAATTCAAAAGAATTTTTACTCTCAAATGAGGTTAGAGAGGTAAATTTAAATGCATACAATAGAACTTAAAATTGACAGCCATTTATGGAAAAGGTCTATAGGCTTAATAGGGATATTATTTTAACAATTTTAGGTAGTGTTTAGTTGAAACAATACCCACACTTAATACAACCCTCTGAATTGTCAACGAAGTCACGTGTTAACGTCAACTCAGCTATAAACCAGCTTAGTTAAAAAAATAGGCCACTAAATTGACGTCAAGTTAAGAAAAAAGTACTGAAATGTAGGACTCGTTCAAAATACACACCATGAAATAGCATTCTCTCGTTGCTGTGGTTATGATTCGCTTCAGCAACCTGCAATGAGTCAATGAACAACTCAGGACCAACTGTGAACAAACCAGCTCAATTTACAGAATGATGTCCATTCATCGAATGGTTTTCTTACATTGATTTTTATCGATTGACTTCACTCCGGGAAAATATGCTCACCTCTCTTCTTCGGTACACGTATTTATCCCAAAGTCTTTTGTTTATAACCCTCTGAATCTAAAAAAGAAACGCAAACAAACTTATTCGTAAGCAAGAACTGCCATTTGCAGCTCACTTTCCCTCTAGAGTCGAATCTTGTGTTTTATAATGAGGTTTTGACTGAGTCTCTACATGAAATTATTAATGTTTGACTGTGTAAACGAAAGCAACAACCACTGCTTTCCTGTAACTGAAGAAAGAAGCTCACGACGAAACTGTTATCGTTTGGGGGAGCCCCCCCGGGGGGGGGGGGAGGGAGCCTTAAGAGATGTACGAGAACTTAATAGCAGTGGAATCAATAGAATGCTTCACATGCTAAAACATTCTATATTCACGTCTTAAGACGCTCTCTCAAAAACTATCGCATCAACTTAATTGTTGATTACACCTTACCCGGAGAATATTGTAAGAATCAAAGTTTCCTCCAGACAGCCCGCCATCCTTCTTGTGTTTCACAACAGTGCTCTGCATCTGCAGGCAAGACAAAATAACACTGCATTATAACTAACAGGAAACACTTCAATTTCGTCCACAAGCACCCGAATACAAGTATACGCGGTCTGACTACTCATATCAGTCGTAAATGTCAAAATGAACCAACAACAACTCGCAACATGTTCATGTCATCGGCGACAAGCGCGGGGTAACCAACGTGACCAAGTCGCGGTCAGGTAGCCTTGGATTCGCATCTGATTTTCTGAATAAGTTGCGCGATGTTCTTAAAGCAATCACACGAGGTGGTAAAGCAAAACCATGGTCATTCCAGATTACTTTCGGCACTCAACTGAAAACCGCTAAATCATAAGACTACTTGATTACCTCTTCTGCTACGGAAATGTAGTCTTTATCATCCACGGACAAGTCATGAACAACTGTTCCCTGTTGGTTAGAGAAGGTGAAGGGACCACCACCTGAAACAGAAGAGTACAGTAAGGAACTCTGGTTTACTCCTACACTATCCCACTCCTTTCTTTGTCTCAGTGCACCAAGGCCAACAAGCCAAGGCCAACAAGCCAAGGCCAACAAGCCAAGGCCAACAAGCCAAGGCCAACAAGCCAAGGCCAACAAACCAAGGCCAACACGACAGAACAACTCACCCAGTTCTGGTAAGCCAGATAGTTTTTCCTTCACTGCCTTTAGGATTTTATGCCGATGTCCAAAGGCGTGGATTCCAATCTCTTTCAGCTCTTCGTGGCCCATATCCACCAGCACATCCCAGGAGATCTGGGTATCAAAATGTTACAAACTATCAGAATGGAGAGTACATCGGTGAACAAAAAGAGTCCAAAGTAGCTTTAGCCTCTTAAGCCAAACTGGCTCGTGCATGTAATTCTCAGCGTTTAACTTCAGTTTCTGTAGCATAACTCGGCTAGGAGTATTGCTCCTCTCCTTGGATGCGATTTTGTATTTGTATTTGTATTTGTATTTTTTATTTCTCCACTTGACGACATGAATACAATATTGTTAACAAATAAGTGCAGTGAAAAAGAAGTGGAAAGGGAAAAATGTAGAAAACTAAAATAGCAGGTTACTCCCCTGGATTCTGTCAGGTTGTTCCAACAAATTCTCCGGTACCTATTTATACTCCTTGGTGGAGAGTAAGGTGTCTTGCTCAAGACCACAACACATTGACCCCGGCAAGGGATTGAACCTGGACTGCTTGACCCGCAGTCCAGCACACTAACCATTAGGCCACCGCGCCTTTCCACCTCTAAATATCACTATCTGTACATTTAACATCTAGAATACTATCCACAGTCCCTGACCTGTTCTTTTTCAAATATATCCTTCAGGTTATTGAGCTGCAAGCTGTCAAGGAACTCTCCCACATCAAGGTCCAAACCAGGGTGACCTGAAAGAAATCAATAATATTAGCGTTAGAGACCCACAGGCTAATATATAACTCAAAATATACTCATACTCTTAAACGCATTTCACAGTGCAATTAACGAATCCTTTACATTTTTACTACTCAGATGCAAAACCAAATCCAAATGCGGTTTGGTTCAGGAAAGAACTTGTTGAGCTTGTTATTCCTGAAGCTCTGATGCTCTCTCTGAGGTTATAATGCACTCGAAACGAATTTTTCTTGAGAAAGAAAGAAAGAAAGTTTTCTTGAGAGTCACTGAGAATTAAAGAAAACAGCCACAAGCAATTCAACTCGGAGCGACTTGCACTCATGTTTGGCAAGCGTCTACTGCAAAGTTTCCCGCACTTGCTACCATGTGAAAAATCAGCTTTTTTTCGTTACTCTTTTATTAAAACTCAAAGTACTAGTGACTGCCCCTTACCTGGGACCATAAACCTTGTCTCCCCGGAGCCCTGGGCTTCCGCTATAGATCTCTTATTAACGGCTCCATCCCCTGAGCCCGCAGGGCTGTTGGCCAGTAGACTAGCGTTCGCTTGTGACAGTGGAGAACTGGAGCTGTTGTTTGCAGAAGAAGGTGACGCAGCACTGCTGGAGGGTGTGGCAGGTGTACTAGGTGGATTGTTCGCTGTGTGGGCCAGCATGGCGTCACTCAAGAGACACTTTACATCCTCAGCCTAAAAATAAACAAACAAAAATAAATGAGATTTATAAATCTATTTAAGTGTCAAATGTATTTAGCACTGTTGTGTTAATTGGGAACACTGTATTGATGAATAAACAAATATTGCAAGTAGAACATAAACTATAAGAATGCCAACTGATGGGTGGCTGTCCAGTTGGGTATTTTACACAACGCGGTCAAGGAGTTGAAATCGGGACTATCGAGGTCAAATCTAGATGGCGGTAGGATGGAGAATTTGAACCAGGGACGTCCAGATTTCAAATCCAGCGCCCTAAACCACCCAACCACGAGCCAACGTTCATAAAACATTGGTCTTAGGTCTTGTAACTTCACAGTTGATGCAAAGAGGCCAGTCCAACTCAAAACTAAACACTGGATAGTTAAACCACTCGGCCATGAGCCGATGCGCATAAGACTTTGGTATAAGATCCTGTAACTTCAATGTTGAGGCCAGGAGACCAGTCCAACACAACTGCTTACTGGACTGCTTCCTCGCCTGCTTACTGGGTAGTTAACAGACAAATGTAATGAAAAGTGAAAACGTAGCTGCACACTTTGCAGCAAGACAATGTCCTATGGCAGACTTTGGTTTTTAAAATCGTTTGCCAAAACTGCCTGCAGGTGAATACTTTAGTAATCATCGGATTTCCATACAGATACTGTATTTACCGAACTGCTGGATCACAGCTGACTATGAATCACATATCATATCAAGAATACTAGTTACAGTAAGGATACTAGCAGAAGCATATCACCTATATGCTTCTGATACTAGATAAGGATACCAGGTAAGTATACTAGATGAAAGGTCACTGCCACAATTGAAAGAAGAGCCTAATGACTTCTAGACTGTTCAGATTCTCTATTTTTCAACGTACGCGAAGGAGAAAAGCTCAAATCACGAAGCTCTATTTTTCTCGGTCCCCACCCCCTACCCTGTCAAGTCTCCCATTTTGCACTGGCGTACAGTTCTCTCATGATTCTATCTTTGCATTTAACGATCGAATAAAAATAGGAGAAAATAGAGGGCTGTGAACAGTCTAAATGACTTATTATATGGCTCTGCCTCACAAGGACTGGGAACTACCAAATTCACGAATTTGACTGGCTGAAATCAATATTGAAAGCGGTCTAGATTTTCCCATCACCTCGGTCATGTGTACAGACCGAACGCAGTGAGGTCTGTACGCACGACCTCGGTCAAGATTCTCCCATACAGACCTCCTGCTCGGTTAATAAGAGCTAAATATTTACAGTACGGTTCGTAGTTTCTTACAGTAGCAAGATCCAGAGCAGTCTGTGCTTCCTGATTCTTCATTGTAGGATCCGCACCATGAGCCAACTAAGAAGACAAAAAATGACTAGTGATCAACATCGAATTCATCCTCACAAATAACACTGAAAGTTAGATATGCAGGTGATAAGTATATCACACAGTCTTGAAATCTTCAATATGTACTCTTGTGACTAGAACTACAACATTATTTTAATGTCTATGCTCCATAGGACGTCCTTTCCGTGCAACTGCCAGTGTGTCTGTGTCTTACCCTGAGCACTCTTCTCTTCTAGGCTAGACCTTTTCATTTTGCAATATCATCCCTACACCTTGTTGGATCATTGCAGCCCCTCTTGTATTTTCAGAATCTGGGATGCCAAAGTGTCGACTTCTCAGTCATGTCAGGTCTTTTAATTTTCATATTTATTCAATGAGAAAAATGTCACCAGTGAAAGTAAAGAGGAAACACTGAGAAAACTTACCAGTAGAGCACATAGTTGAGTTCTTCCCTTCTGAGCAGCTTCATGTAGTGGCGTAAAGAGCCAACGGTCTGTGGCATTTACATCTGTATTGTGTTTTATCAGAAGAGATGCGATATCCACATGCTGGAATAAACACAAAGTTCACAACCAGTTAGGATTTATACAGAAAGCAAACACAAATAAACAAAACAAACTTTCGCCAAAAGTTTGCAATAAAAATAATAGTTTTTGAACCAGACAACATCTTACATTTAGGTTCAAGCACCCCAACACAAAACTCTTCCATTGCTTGGTTTGAATAGCACATTTCTAATTTGCAGCCAGACAAAAAAAGTAGGCTAACTCTATCAATTAAAACCAGTTGATTACCAGTTATTAGCACATGGAAAACCAAACAAATTCAACCTGACCATGAACTTACCCCGTATGAGGAAGCATTGTGTAAAGGTATCAACCCTCCTTTGTCTTGGGCATTCACATCAGCCCCATTCTCCAACAGGTGCTCAGCTACTTCAAAATGATTGTAACCAGCTGTACAAAATAATAATCAAGGTAGTTGTACGTCAAGAACCTACATATGGCTAAGTTACAACATACTTCTGGGTTCTTTGTGACCTGCTCTGCTACTTTTGCCTGACTGCTCAACAGCAGCTGCATGTAAACAAAATACCAAGGCACTGGTACTGTAACTCATAAAAGATATAGCACTTTATATTTTGTCAAAGTACCTTGATAAAAAACTTGAAAAGTGACTATCATCTGACTGTGTGTTCAGACTTCAATAGAATAAGGACAAATATAGGCCCGTAATGCGTGCAAAGGAATAGAGAAACAGTCTGTACACTGTACATGTAGCAAACAGGGCATGTTTAGAATGTTTGTCAGTGTTGTGATATTATTACTCACCAGCAAGATGTAATGGAGTTGAGTTGCGTCCTTGTGTATCTCTACAGTTGATGTTTTCTGGCGTGGACAGCTTCATCACCTGTAGAAAGTAAGTCAATGTCTCTTTCAACATCTTGGAAATCATTACAATAAGTGAATGGACAGTTTTAATGAATGAGTGCAATAGAATCTAAAACCTACCCTTGTTAAATTGCCTTTCTTTGCTGCATCAAGTAAAGCAGCATCACCTGTAAAAAAAAGAAACATTTCAAAAGAATTTAAAATAAACAAAATGGAAATTACTGAGAAATAACCTTGAGTTACGCATACTTTTCGACATCAAATTACGTTAATAGCATACTCAAAGCATTAACCTCTCAGTAAGTCTGCTACATCAGTGTCTCCTTCTTTCACAAGATCCAGGGGAGTTTGCCCATCACGAGTCTTCTTCAGAGGATCAGCTCCATGCTGCAGACAAAAGCACATATAAAGTTAAGCAGTCTCTTCTTGAAGATTCGATACTGTAACATTGCACTTTTTGCTGGCACTTTTGGTGTAAATTAGTTTATATTATATGGCAAATTTGTCCATCAACGATTACCCCCTCTGTAGCAGAATATATCAAAATAGTAATACTGCTTGAATTTATGATCTAACCTACTCAGGTTTCTCTACAGAAAACAAAAATGTACATGACATGCAAACTGATCTTATTACTAGTCCTCACATCAAACTTTGAACAAATCTTACCACAGTCCTGGGAAATAACCCTGACGTGGAGTTAGAGACTGCAGATGTCAAGAGCACAGTCATCAGTTACCTACCTTCAGCAGGAGACGACAGATTTCAAACTTCCCTTTTGCCGAAGCTTCATGGAGGGGCGTGAATTTCCACAGATCAGCTACATTCACCACGGCACCATGCTACAAATATCACAGAGTTCACAATTTGCTAACAGTAACAATAAATTCATAAATTTTTAATAATGAATAGACCTTCCATTCTAAACTTTAATAATAACCTCATGACAATCAGACCTAAAATAACACAAACCATTATTATACACAGTCACATGAAAAACCTCCTACACAAAGAGAGTTTATTTATAAGTGAGCTTCTGAAGACTGATGGGGTTGTGCAAAAGGAATGTTTATCTCACTGATTAAACCATTGAAAAAACACAAAGAGAATTTTTGGTCTTCATTTTTCAAAAAATCCTCAAATACATATTGCAACATCCATTTACCAACAGTGATGTATTTTCAAGAACATTTAACTGAGGAATCAGATATTAATGCACTAGGCAGCCATTTTTCAGTGAAAAGCAACTAAAAGTCATGACAAACATGCTTATAAAGGTTTGTTTGGCCTTACCTTGACCAGTAATTCAGCTACTTCATAGTGACCATATGAACAGGCATTATGGAGAGGAACCAGTCCCCTGAAAGTGAAAAAAGTTGGAAATAAGGTTGCATTGTACACTGAACAAATTTCCAACAACAAAACCAGATTGACCACTGGTCTGTTGACAAAACAGTTGAGTTGTCAATATACCCTTTGTCCTTGGCATGCACATCAGCTCCATTCTGGAGTAAGTACTCCACTACTGTGACTCTGTTGTAACCAGCAGCAAAATGAAGAGGGGTGCTGTGTCGTCCTTCAAGGTCCCTACAATTCACTGTCTGTGGTGTGCACAGTTTCTACAAAAAAGACAGAAATCATCAAGACGCTCTTTCATTCAAAGAGGGCTCATTGCTATGTGCAATGCCATGTATATGTTTCTAGCAGCAATGTTCATCACTGATGGCTTTCAGATTAACATAAGTTGACAACTGGTGATCTACATAAAAATACTATCCTCATTTACCTTGACAACCTCCATATCTCCCGATCTTGCAGCCTCAAGCAACTGCTTCTCAACATCAGAGCCAGTTGAAGGTGGATCCTCTGAAAGAAAAATTCCTGAACTTGAGTACTGTAACCAAGATACCTTTACAGAGGTGAAACCAGAACTTTACAAACAAGTGCAACCCTAGGTCATGCTTACATGTAACTACCTATTTTTTAAAAGTAAACTCTGCTTACCCTGTAGAATTTTTTGGACAGGTTCAGAGGCCACTTCAGCAGCAGTGTGGCCTTGAAATGATCTCAAGGTAATGTCTGCTCCATGTGCAAGCAGAATACGACAAGCTGAAATCTGCCCAGCTGTTGCAGAGCGATGTAATGCTGTCTCTCCTAATGCATCCAACGCATTGACCTATGTTAGAAAATAAATAATAACAAATTTAAAGCAAATTAAGAACTAGTTTTAACTGATGAATCATCAAGTACATGAAAAGGTGATAGTTTGAAATATGCATGTCAGACTATACTCAGTCTTCAAACCTAGGTGGGTTGCTAAGTTAGTACATGTCCATACTCAGGATTGCCCCAGCAATTTCCCAGTCCTCATTTTTAAGCAAAGGTTGTCAAAAGTAGCTGGCATATGCCAAAATCACCATGATCTACTTCGTGAGCTCAGCAGGCTTGTCTGCTAGGCTATCTGTCGTATGCTTCAGAACAAGATGCCAAAATCAGCCACCTACTCCAACAATAACACTGCCTCCTTCAAAATGATGTGACAACCATTTATAGAAACCTGTATTTAGGTCACTGTTCTTTTCAGAAATAACAAGTTAGGTTGTTCAATTGCAGCTACAGGAGTTTAAACCACTACTTTGCAATATCTCTTGTAAAGGGACACTTGATATACATAATATTAATAGTGCACAGAGTCATGGTTCCCATACATGAAAGTACACCTCATCATTTTGTAGACATAATTTAACAATATCTCCAACAAATGTGAATTAGCAGCAGACCTGATTGATAAAGCTTTCTCTTACTGGTGGAATTAAAGTAGAACCTCTCCTGAACTAAGTGGGATATCATGGTCAAATCATAACAAATGCCCCTTACTTTGGCTCCACCTTTGATCAACAGTTCCATTGCATCAAGATGTGATTTTTCTGAGGCAACATGAAGTGGTGTCAGAGAACTGCAAATAATGTTGGAAAAAATCATTATTGACACCTATTAGACCAAGCAGTTTTGGAGAAAAAAGAAGACATGAGCTGTCGTGTCAGATTTCTTACTCTTTATTTTGTAAGTTTGTATCTCCTCCTTTCTTCAGAAGTAATTCTATTGTAGCTTTCCTCTTTTGACAAACAGAACTCACTGCAAGATGCTAATAACAAAGAAATGTACATCACTTAATTAAATTGAATTTTCAGAGTCTTATCACAACTTCACCATAGTGATACAGAATGTGAATGACTCCATTTTGCTATTCCACACAAGCAGACCAGTGCATTACAGATAATTTACAATACACTTGTCTGATTGCAAGAAATAGCATTTGAAATAGTCAGAGTAATTTGATGATTTACTAGCAACCTAATTAACTTGGTGTTTTGATGATTATTACCACCCTAACTAACTTAGTGTTAGCTTGGTGATATCCTCTGTAAAATTTGTTATTATTATTATTATCATTATCATTATCATTATCATTATCATTATCATTATCATTATCATTATCATTATCATTATCATTATCATTATCATTATCATTATTATTGCTATTAATTGTGATAACTTATTATGATTGTCAATGGTTGGAACTCAAACTGCAAGGACAAGGGCACAAGACATTGAAACAGAAAAAAAACGGACCAAGGACCACATGAAAGCCTTCTTTCACTTGTCTATGAATGGATACACAGGAAGTATACAATAGTGATTGCATGACACTGACACTGAGCAAATGTAATACTTAACTTGGCATCATCCAAATTAATGACAAATTTGTGAATATTACAAAAAAAAATATAAATTGTGCATGTATATGTTGTAGGGCAAAGTTTTCTTTAGGTCAGAATGATTTTAACCTAGTCGTACATTAATTTGTTTAACCTTGGTTGTGAAGCAAGATCTGGTATAACAATCAACATGCCCTTTTATCAACAGAAGTAGTACATACCAGAGAACTCTCTAAAGTAAGGGGATGCTGGAAGTTAATGATCTCTGGTGTAATCTGCTTCTTCAGTTTTGTGGAGTCACATGATTTGGCTGCTTCTAAAAGTTGATGTCCCTTAAATTCAACTGTTGAGAAAAAAAATAAAGGACATATAAGAGAAATCACAATAAAAATCATCATGATGCACTGAGAACACTTGTGGAGGGTGTGAACCAAGACATTATAATTTTAAACAATCTGCAAACAGAAAACTGAATTGTGCCAAAAGTTAGAAAACATGTTTTCATTGCATTTTCAAAGACAGCTACACTGGACTACTGTAAAACTTTTTTTTTTTCAAAATACAACTTATAATCATACAGGAAAGCTTATCCCGAAGTTCTCTTGTGGGAGCAGCATCAACAGCAGCCTTGGAATGACAGTTAAGTAATGTAGGATCAGCACCATGTGCTAGCAGCAATGAACACACCTCCACCCTAGTGTAAGAGAAAAAATACATCACTCAATAAATAAACCCCACAGCTCTATCAATCAAGTCTACCCTAAAGGTAATGCTCCTTTGATCCACCAAAACACAGCCTAGTAGTTTTTGAGTGTTGGCCTGTCGGCATGTTGAATTATGGAACTGCCTTTCAATGACAAGGGGAGTGCAAATTTTTCAGGAAACTACATGTCAGAGGTTACATGAGTGTACAAATAGTTCTGCCAAGTTCTACATGAAGATGGCAGCATTGACAGTCATAACACTCTGTCGCAATGCGATTGATAGTTTTCCTAGGAGAACATTGCCTTTATGGCTTGAGGCAAGATATTATATAGTTTTACTGACAAGCTTTACTCCAGGCTGGTATCTGGTAGGGGATTGTTAACTAAAAAATAATAAAGTTAAATAAATTATTATCATTGTAATCCACATCACCCATCAAGTTAATCTAGTATTCTCTTCAAAGAATGCAGTTCATTACAACGGCTTTGCTCTTGAGACCTGCCTTTTTATTACATAGTGGGGTATACTTCACGCTACCTATCATAGGTATTCATAAAGCTTTCAAAATTGATTGAAGGTTCAATCAATCTTTCTCTACTTTTACAGTTGTGTGGCATGAGTTCACATTTAAATCCAAGGGTTAGTGTTAATAATGACAGCCTGGAAGAACTGACTGAAGTCATCAACATGGAACTTCTCAGCTGCTCTGTCAGTCCTTTTTTACATGAAAATGTAGTGGGTAATTATATTCACCTTGCTTTGGAAGCTGCCTCATGAAGAGGAGTAAACTGCCACAAGTCCATAGCATTAACACTTGCACCATGCTACAGAGCAAAATTAAAATATATATATATTTTAGCTGTCTATTAAACAGGCTAAGACTCTCTGTATTTTGAAGGCGTTTGGATCTTCAAAGTCCACCATTAATTTCTCATCAACCATTGTCAACGACAGGTACATACAAGACAGTCTGTGTTCTTGTTTAGTACACTTATACTGATCTATATGAATATAAATTATATCACATGACAGCATGGCTACTTATGTGGTGATGCATGCCATAACAGTATCTTCCATAAATGACTGCAGTCCAAAAACCGGCTGAGGGTAAAGAGTGTGATCACACTTACATATTATCAGTTATTGCATCCTCTGCCAAAATAAATTGCGACTCAATGATTTGTGAAAAATGTTAGAACCATTCAAGAAAAACCACGTAAAGTTGCTTGAAATTCTCAGGTGAGTTACCTAATTGGAGGAGTTACAAAAGAGGATAATCTACTTCATTACCTTTATTAACAATTCTGTGACATCATAATGCCCATAGGAGCAAGCATTGTGTAGGGGGACCAGACCACTGAAATAGACAAATTCAAATAATAACCAGCAATTAATCACAATACCTTTAGAATCAATGCAGTTAAAGTCGTAAATAATAATATTATGTAGTAATGCATCGCCTCTTTGTGAGAGCTGTAAGAGTGGCAAAGCAGGTCAGTGGGAGGGTCCTTTATTGTGTTTCCTAAGCACTTATGTGCTAATTTAATCGAAATTCACAAATCATGTGTATCCCCTCCACTTTGTGAGACATACATATATCATATGTACATTCAATTGTGACCACTTAAGTGTTCCACTGAAAACCTCTTAGGCACTGTCCTTAAGGAGGAATTTCTTGGGGATCTGGAATAATCTGAGTAAGCATTGGTTTGTGAGTCATCCTCATTCTGGAATACTGTGCAGGATAATAGACATCCTTCCGACTTATGGTCAAAGGATTGACACACTGTTGGTGGGTTCAGTGTTTGCTGTGGCTAAACAGCCTAATTTGTGATTTACAGTTAAGACTGCAGTTCTGGCAGATGAACTGTGCCTCATGTAGGGTTGTTGAGAGCTTGCAACTGGCCTTCCTCTTCGCTCTTTTCACCTCTTTTGCTAGAGTGATGTGCTATTCTCCAACTGGGAGTGCTTTGTACATCTCTGCTCTCTAGATCATTCTGCCATTGGCCAGTGCCTCCCATGTCTCTACTAAAAAAGTTGAAGCAGCAGATTCCATGTCCTTTCCCACACAGCCTTATAATGAAGTTTCAGTCTTCTGACAAATCACTTCCCTTCTGTTAATGTGGTGTATGGGAGGTCTTTAGGGATACACACTGTAACTGTTGTCCAGGAAAGTCAGAGTATAATAATTTATTACTCTTGTATTCTGAACTAAGCATTATTTTAATTATTCCCAAATATCCCAGGTCTAAGGCATCATTCAAATACCAAGATTGGACCCATCAAGAATACAAAAAAGAAAGTGCCCCTTACTGAATAAATGCACTTACCCTTTGTCTTTAGCATGTACATCTGCACCATGCTGTAGTAAAAGCTGAACCACCCTGACTCTGTTGTAACCAGCAGCTAGATGCAGTGGAGTTGACTGACAAACAAAAATCAATATTTAGAAATGACACATATGGTGACACGTCAGTCTATTAAGCAGATGCCCTTTTCTGTTATTAGGCAGACATCATGTCTAGTCCCAAAATTAGCATCTAGTGTTTTCATTTGTAACAAGCTCTTACAACTGGACACTAAAAATAAAATTATGTACTCTATTTCAAATGGTAACTTCTCGTCACTGAAAACCTCTATTTCATAGAAATTGAAAAGTGATACGTCCATGTAGTTGAAATGACAGATTACAAACAGCATTTTCTTTTTCAAGTTGGTTAGGAACTTGAATTCAGCATAGCTTTGTTTACAACCAGGAATTTTATTTTTGATAAACTGATGAAATTTATATTAAACCTTTAGAAATATTATGCAATCTTATCTAACTTCCATTAAGTGGACACCTTCTATTAAGAGAACTTAAAAGCTAAGGAAAAGTTACCAGGGTGCCTTCTAAATAGAGATTCAATGTAGTTGCACTAAAGAAACTCCCTATTTTCAGTATTACAGTACAGATACATGTACATGTACTTGTATAACTGATAAAAGCACAGGCCTTGCATTGAACCAACCTTTCTTCCATCACTTGCATGGCAATTCACATTCAATGGAGTAAGAAGTGACATGAGCTTTTCTTCATTGCCGCTTCTACGAGAGTAGCAAACAACGACCAATGAGTAGTTACAAAACCAATCATTTCAATTCAAAGCTTGGAATGTTGTTAAATATTATTTCTCACCAACAACTGGCCATACATTTCTCTGAAATTGTCAACTATTGACGGAAAGACAAAATCCTGTAATAAAGACCTACAGACAGTTTTCTTAATTTCCTGCCACCTTTCTTTCTTTTAAGACTTTTTGTCTCAGTTTATGGTCGCACTCAAGTATTCATAAAGAATTAAGAGCCACTGCTTGTAAATATAGAGAATCTGATGACAGGGGTGATTAATTATTTTAAATTTTTTTGAAACTTTAGCAAACTTTTGTCAGACATATGCATGCTTTAAAAGTTCCAGTGAGTTCACATTTTTGTGACATCTAGGAAGGTTCAAAGTACAGGTTGATCAACCGAGATTGGTGATGGAATTTATGCAAAATTGAGCATTTTCAACAGACTGTATGTATATGAAATAGAGAAAGAAGAAAACTTGACTAATGCACTTGCTAATTTTGCTTTAATCATTTCTCTGAGCTAAATATCATCTTGAAGTTTTTTTTGTCCACAATAGGGAGTTATAGCCATTTGAATAATACAACTATTGAGATTTAATTTATATATATACCAAATTCCAACTGATTTGATAGGGCCATAACTCTTCTAGTATCTAATATTAATATCTCCACAAATAAGGGGACAAAATAATGATTACTTTACCTAGCTGCTTCCAGTAACTCATCTTTCTTGTACTCCCCTGAAAGAGATTTTAAAGTAACACTACCATACAGGCATCAGTGAGAAATTGAACAGAGGGAATAAGTCAAAAATAATTCCCTGCATTCCACTGAGATATTAAAGCAGACTATATTAATCAAAGATAGTGCCCAGAAACCTAAAATTTTTAGGACAGTGCTTCCAAGCCTTTCCATTTCAATCTTTTTGAAGGCATTGCATGGGAGTGCAGGGCTGAAGTTAGTAACAAGAAAACCGAGGCAATTTCCTTAGTTGGGAAAATCTTGAATCAATGACTTGAATCAGTTTTGATATTGTAAATCAGCATAATTTTAAGATTAACATTTTAGGCCAGCAATACTGCATGATAATGACAGTATGTTTCCATAGTAATTTTGCTCACTGTACATGTACTTTATTTGCACTGGCTATCAAAGTCAGTACTTTGAACAATGAGTTTGTATTTGCAAACTTGCTCCACAGAAATAGTACCAGACAATTGTCATTTGTAAATGTGGTGGGTTCCCTTTAGGACCATAACAACTTAGACAAGAAATAATGTTGTCTGAGGCAACATCAGGAACTCTTAAAGGAACCCAAAATATATTTAGTGTTTTGTGCCACACTGTAATGTGACAACTTTAATAATTTTACATCAGATTCCAGTATTTTATAAACATATATAATTATCAATGATAACCTGTATTAACTGATTAACAGATAGATCTCAGGGCTGTCAATGAGATCTGAAGTAGGCAGAGATATTTTGAAAGTAGACCGCTATGGCTCATAAAAAATAGTAGGCAACCGCCACCCCGTGAAAATTGTGAAATCTAGACTCTTACAAATGCCATTTCCAGAGTTTTCAAGAGGTATTTCCCACCACAAAGACAATCATAATAATTGATAGCAAAAACCTTTTATTAAGTCTACATTTGCAGTAAGCTCTTCCTGCGCCTGCTAGGGTTACAGAAGCCCAAATACCATTTTTAGCCTTTTCCTGGAGACATTTTAAGGCAGGCCTTCTTATCCCTGTGATCGTATTTAGAGAAAATGAAAAATACCGTATTTATTTGATTAAGCGCCTAGGCCACTTATTAAATTTTTGGACTTTCAGGATGGGCGCTTATTCGAGGTGGGCGCTTATTTGAGGCTGGGCGCTTATTAAATTTTCACCATTTTCAGTAAGTAAAAAGTTTACTTTGTAACAAAACAATAAATAAGAACAAAACATGTCAAATATTAAAGCATTTAAATTGTAACTGTTCATTGTTCGGCTTATGCACAGGACTAACAACTCATTGTTCGGTCTTTGCAAAAGTCTCTTTAGCTATCCTAATTCTCAATCAACATCATAAAATTTTCAGATAATGAAACTAGAGATTGTAAGCCATTAAAGAAATACCGTAATAATCAATACTCTTGTGTACTTTATTATTATTTTTTTTTGGGGGGGGGGGGGGGG